GGAGAGAGAAATGCAAATAACCATGAACGTGGCAAAATAACAGTGTGAAAATTCAACTGCGCAGAAATTTCTCACAAATCAAACTCCAAGCACCCAAAATTCCACCCATAAGCCGAGCAGCGTCTGACTTCATTAAGGCTCGCGAGCGAAGGTGCAGCTGCACGTGACTGTGTTTGATTAACTCTGCAATGATTTCTGACTTAATCAGTCAGAAGAAGAAATTCAGTGAGCAGGAAGCCTTTTATCAGCCAGACTCACTCACCTGCACATCTTCCTGCCTTTTAGTCAGCAGCAAATTAGCAAACCGACGGCTGTCAGAAATGAATAATTGAACTACATTTCCAAGATGAAGGCTAAACTGGTACACTAAATAAATTTGTATTTGCTTGCCTTTGACTAGATTTACTACTTGAAATAAATACTTCTTGGTCTCATGTGGTGTATTAGTATAGGCCTGTATTAGTTGTTTTAAAAGCATCATGAGGAGTCACATTTTTCTTAGATTAATTTGTTCATTGTACCATGAAAATTAACTTTTAGAAAACAACGTTCTTCCTTAGTATAAAAAAAGAAAATGACACTGGCTAAATTTAGAAAATTGCACATTGCATAAATAGTTTCCGAATTCGGCTCCATTCTGTGTATGAAATTACGTACTGTCAGAGTATGTCCATTTGATAAAGCATTGACCATTAATAAAGCACATTCTGTAAGCATCAAATGTGTGTAATATGAGTACAATCTGGTCATATTATCCCACTCATATGTTATATTTGACATTCTGCCATTTACAAATATTATGATGCCTCATCTGTGGCTTCATGAGGGTCATCCAGATATTTTTTGTTTAGTTTTTACCACATTGACAAATGACTTTAATATGATTGCCACAAGGCACCCAGTTGTCATCTTGGATAGTTATTTTGCATTAAAACCTATATGTTGTGGAGAGAAAAATAACCTGTTTAATTCTGGTCAAAAATGGTGGATAAATTAAATTAAGTTAAGTTAAAATTAAAAGAATAAAGAATATGATAAAATGATAGATATTGATTTTGAACAAGTATTTCTGGTCAAAAATGGTTGATAAAATTAATTTAATTTAATTTAATAACATTTTTAATTTAATTTTATTAAATTTTTTATTTAATTTTTTATAAAAATTTTATTTAATTTTTTATAAAAAATTTATTAAATTTTTTATAAAAATTTTATTAAATTTTTAATTTAATTTGAATTTGAATTTGAATTAAAAGAATATGATAAAAATTATAGATATTGATTTTGAACCAGTATTTCTGGTCAAAAATGCTTGATAAAATAAAATAATTAAATTTAATTAAATTAAATTTAATTTAATTTAATTAAAAATTTAATTAAATTAAAATTAAAAGAATATGATAAAATGATAGATACTGATTTTGAACCAGTATTTCTGGTCAAAAATGGTTGATCAAATTAATTTAATTTAATTTAATTTAATTTAATTTAATTTTTTATTTTTTATTTTTTATTTTTTATTTTTTATTTAATTTTTTAATTTTATTTAATTTAAGTTAATTTAATTTAATTTAATTTAATTTAATTTAATTTAATTTAATTTAATTTAATTTGAATTTGAATTAAAAGAATATGATAAAAAATTATAGATATTGATTTTGAACCAGTATTTCTGGTCAAAAACGGTTGATTTAATTTAATTTAATTTAATTTAATTTAATTTAATTAAAAGAATAAAGAATATGATAAAATTATATATATTGATTTTGAACCAGTATTTCTGGTCAAAAATGGTTGATAAAATAAAATAATAATTAAATTAAATTAAATTAAATAAAAAATTTAATTAAATTAAAATTAAAAGAATATGATCAAATGATAGATATTGATTTTGAACCAGTATTTCTGGTCAAAAATGGTTGATAAAATAAATTTAAATTAAATTAAAAGAATAAAGAATATGATAAAATTATAGATATTGATTTTGAACCAGTATTTCTGCTCAAAAATGGTTGATAAAATCAATTTAAATTAAATTAAAAGAATAAAAATATGATCAAATAATAGATATTGATTTTGAACCAGTATTTCTGGTCAAAAATGGTTGATAAAATAAATTTAAATTAAATTAAAAGAATAAAGAATATGATAAAATTATAGATATTGATTTTGAACCAGTATTTCTGCTCAAAAATGGTTGATAAAATCAATTTAAATTAAATTAAAAGAATAAAAATATGATCAAATAATAGATATTGATTTTGAACCAGTATTTCTGGTCAAAAATGGTTGATTAAATTAAAGTTAAAATTAAATAAAATCAAAATAAAATACATTAAATTAAATTAAAAGAATAAAAATATGATTATGATAAAATAATAGATATTGATTTTGAACCAGTATTTCTGGCCAAAAATGTTTGATAAAATAAATTAAATTAAATTAAATTAATAAAGAATATGATAAAATGATATATATTGATTTTGAACCAGTACATTCAAAGTTTATTTTGCATTAAGCAGATTAAGACTTTGAAAGCATCAGTGTTTTCAGTGAGATGATGCAAGAACACAAAAATCTGTTTCCAAACAAGGAAACTCCCACTTCTCCCCCTCCTCTGTTGTCTCATATTGCAAATCTCATTCATTCAGAAATGTCTCATGTTGGCGATGAATCTCACCGCTGTGTCTGAAAGCTATGCCTTCCTCCTTCTTCAAAGTAAGGACAAATTTACTTGGGAGAAGAGGAATGTCTGAACCAATAAAGAACAGAGAGGGGTTAAACAGTGTCAATACCATAACCTCATTGATCTGCCGCCTTTAGGTCAGCAAGGCCGGCTCCAGCCGATGTTAGCCATTAGTGCAACCATTTGCCCATATGTTGAAGCAAATGAGTGCTCAGATAAGTCATGGATCCGATAATACACCCATGGGCAGTTAGATTGGACTGATACTGTATGGTTCATTTTGATGGAAAAAGATCCCAGTGTGCAGTGTTTTATAACGCAACCCACACATTCATTGCAAATTATTCTCTTCTCAATCAGTATGCTACCAAGTGCTACATTGGTTTGGACCTATAAAATGCACTGAATTTTCAGCTGGGGCCAGTTGCATAAACTATGAGCTATTTTGACTAACTAGCAGGTAACCAAGTGGTAGTCAGTCTTACTTTTCGGAGTTAAATTAGACCAATTTATGTTTTTATTACATTTACATTTAGTAATTTAGCAGACACTTTTATCCAAAGTGACTTACAAATGAGGACAATAGAAGCAATTAAAACCAACAAAAGAGCAAAAGAGAGAGAGCAGGCACTAACTTTAAAAGGTTATGACCAGTCTTGCAGAAAAAAAAAAGACTAACTTTTAAGACCAGTCTAAGCAGTTTATGCAACCAGCTACAGATCATATCATTCTCCATCTGGTATATACGCTGCAAATGTGTGCCATTTTTTTGTTTTGAATTCTTTTTATTGTAGTATTCTGCAATTTTTGATTTCCCGGAATGGATCCTGAATTAATATGATGTGCTTATGGCAAAACTCTTAGGCTCCTATAATCTGTCTGCTGGCACTTTTAGCACGGTTTAGTCCAAGGAAATTATTGAAAATAATTTGAAGGGAAAATAATAATTTGAAATTACGATTAATATATATTTTTTCCACCTACTGTAGATCATTGGGGCCTGCGAGTACAGCAGTGGAAAAACACATGAGATGAGAAATATGAGAAAATTATATTTCAATGCTTTTGTGTTCACTTGTAAAAGTTTTGTATTCTTTCATAAAAGTATCACATTCCCCCGAGAAACTTTTCATTTGCAAAAGCACTGAAATACATGTTTTTTTCTTATCATCTCCATCACAAACGTTTTACAAGTGAACACAGGGTTTCTCTGGGATTGCTAATAAGTTGATGAAAAAATATGATCTATGAACATTTTGTTAACATCCCTGTTACATTATGAAATGTTATCTTTGAACGTTATTTGAACTTTTTTCTTTTGTTTGTTAAAAAACATTTTTCCTTGGTTATGCAAATGTTAAGGGAATGGTTCATTTGATCATTCTGCAAACATTATTGGAAGTAACATTTAGATGAACATCCAACTAAAAGCTTACAGAAAAGAACATTGCAGTTCTGATGTTTCCAGAACATAATTAAAGAACAGATCACTTTGAATGAACATTATGTTACCATTCCTGGAAGAATGTTCACAGTCGCGTTTTCTTGCGTTTCGTATCTGAAAGTCATGATGGTTAAAACAAGATTAAAGTAAATGTACAATTTAATATGCAGAAAAACTGATTATATATGCATTATATGTATTCCAAAATTGTCAGAGAATTTGTCTTGAATATAAGTATATTTTCTTTTTTTCACTGGTAGATTTTGCCCTTTTTTCACTTGAAATAAAAAAACGGTATTAGCATAAACCTCAATAAACAGATGGATGTTTATATATTTTTACTGAATCCAAGACAATTTGTTTTGTTGCAGTGTTCATTATCCCACACAAATGAAAAAAGGCCATTTTCTTTGGCTTCTGAGCACAAACTCACAGCCGTGTTCACAGTATCAGTGCTCTGGCAAATAAGCCATCTGCTCGGGCCTGGAGGGCAGACTTAAATCAACGTTAGTCCAGCGCTGGCAAACAACGCCGAGCTATTGCCTCACGATTCTGAGGCCAAACATTCGTCTTTCTTCTTCGTATCATCCATCTCTTTTCTTATTAATTTCCTTCCTGCATCTTTCTATCGCATTTTCTCCTTCCTGCAGCTCTCACCTGTGGTCTGTCGTTCTCTCTGAGGAGTGTGCTCTCGGTGCTGAGCCGCTTAGGTTCTGCTGCGGTTACAGAGGTGCTGACCGTGCCCTACTTACAGAGAGTGAGAGAGAGAAGGAGGGTGGGTAGGCTAAAGTGTCAGCAGTGCGAGGTGCTCAGTGCTTAGATAGACTCCTGCGGGATTAATGGCCTAGTTAAAGTTGGAGCTAAAGAGGATTAGCCTCCTCGGAGAGGTGGCAATAGATCCAGCATGTCCTTCAGCGGTGGAGGCAGAGGAGGAGGATGAAGGGGGGGAGAGCTGGCTGGAGATTGCTACTGAGCATGCAAAAAACAATCACATCTTGCAGGTTGACACAAGGTCAAAATGTCGCCTGTCACCAAGGTGGTGGAAAACGACGGCGAAGACGTGTTGCAGGTGTTCTTGCAAATCGTGACTCCAGCAGTGATTCGATTTTTTTAGTGGACGGTGCACTGGACCATCTTTAGCAGGTGTCTTGGAGTCGTGGCTGTTCATGCATGGTCTCGGTTCGAGTGAATATTTGTGCATGTGTATATTCAGTGTTGTTTGTATTGTGGCTTCACTGGGCTGGTCTGAAGGTGTCATTTTTATTCTGTTTCCCCTAACGGTGTAAAAAAAAGTCTTTTTTGACAGCATGCTTGCATTATAGTTCTTTGGGATGCATACATATTTGCAACATTTTCTTTACTGCTTTATTCAAACATGACCAATTAATAGTCATAATACACATAAAAAATCAAATCTAAAAATGCAATATTTATTACATACATTTTGAAAGCTGCAGTTGATAAACATACGGCACTTTATGGCCATCTAGTGGTCAAGAGAAAAACAAACGCTAAAAAACGCCTTGCAGCAGTCAGCTAGTCTTTTGAGTTGAAGACTTTTGCAACGGAAAATTAGTTTTTAATACACCAGTATGAATTTAAACGCTAAATTAGTTTTTTCTCAAATTAAATCAGATGATTTTCTTAAATAATTAAAAATGCGTTCATTATCTAACGTTCTGAAATTGGCGAACGAGTCATTCTTTGAGTCTTTTCAATGAACTCGGTTCGAACGGTTCTTTGACTCACTGAACCAAGAACCGTTTCGTTTGGACTTCTAGCAGATAGTAAAAGAGTGAAGGAGTAAAAGAGTAGCGTGAACCGAGTGAAACGAGGACGTCTTATTATTATTATTATTAATAAAGCATGAACTGGACATGTTTATGACTTTATTATATGCGCAGTTTTATAAACACATGCGTACAAAAGTGTTAAAAGTGCTATTTATTAGTGCACAAACTTTTTCAGACAAGAGTTACAAATGAATTTTAGTACTATAAATGCTAATTATATTTAGGACTAGATTTTAAATCACTTTTTTATTAGCTGAAATGAGACCCATGAAATTACAATCATAGTTATTAAAACAAAGCAATATATTTTATGAGTTTTATTGGAACGTTTTATAGCTATTACGCCACGATGTGAAAGAATTGCTGAAACCATTTTTTCTTTCTAATGGCAAGACTGCTGAAGATTCCTTTAGAAAAGTAATCAATTTCAATTCTTTCCTTTACATGCTTGAGGCAATCAGATCAGTGATTAAGAAACAAAGGAGTACAATAAGTAGCATACAAATTAAAATACTCTGAAAATAAGACAAAGATGGCTAAGCGTGGGCGATCCAGAATCTCTTTATTGCTGATGGAACCAATCTCTCTGATTGTTTGTATAGTCATCCAATTCAGCACATAAAATAATGCTTATTGACAGCAGCATCAAACATCTAACATACTGGCAGGATAATATCTGCTACCAAGAATATATTACCATCTATTTCTGTACATTCCTTTGATACCTAAACTATACTTAGTGTCTAATAAAATATAAAGGATATTTGAAATGAATAGAGTGTGGAAATCCGGCCTGTAAACAAAAACACAGTTGCCTGTTCCAGTCCTCTAAATCAGTGGTTCCCAACCCTGGTCCTTGAGGCACCCCAACACTGCACATTTTGCATGTCTCCTTTCTCTGCCGCACCAGGTCTTGGAGTCTCTACTAATGAGCTGATGACCTGAATCAGGTGTGTTTGATTAAGGAGACATATAAAACGTGCAGTGTCGGGGTGCCTCCAGAATTGGGAACCACTGCTCTAAATCACACTTCATGGACTTCAAACAAAGACATGAAAAAAAAAATCATGTACTACAGCATACAGACAATGCCTTTTGTACGCTGTTAAAAAATATTAAAAATGCATAAAATAGTTCCCCTACAATATGTGCCATTGTGTGCTTTGGCATGAGTTAATCAGTGAAATAAGAAACCTCTAAACTGAACGTGTCGCTTTAAATCATTACCACTATCACACCAATTAAGTTCAGTGTCACACTATTGCTAGCATACTGAGGTGAAAATAGCAAACTGCTGCTGTCTCCTGGTGTGGGTGCCACATCTGTTTTCTACATGACCTTTATTACAAAACAAAGCCAAAGGCCAAATCAGAGCAGCATTTTTTGTCTTTCCATTATTGGTTGGCAATATAACAAAAGAATAACAATATGAGTTTTCATTAAAAAAAAAAAAAAAGGACTGTACTTTATCACAAGGCACATTTAACACTGAGGTAATCTGACATGATTATTAATTAATATATATGCTGATACTCAAATCCAAGACCTTGTGGCGTGTTGTTTCATGATCAAAATAATAATGAAAAAAAAAATCCCTTTATAAAATCTATTGCACACTCCATGAAAAAAACACTACAATATTACACATCAAACATGTTCCTGAGTGTCTCATGGGTCCAAGCATACATGTAAAACACAATCAAGATACTTTTAAAAGTCATAATATATGAAGCTGTTCTCCCAATAGTGATGAAAAACACTACAACTATTGTCAGCTTTTATAAAATACATAACTGTCTGCCCAGTAATAAAAGTTTCAAGGGCTTGACCCTCTGTTAAGTCCTTAGCGTTCAGCTTTAGCTTTCAGACTTGTGTCTGTGTCTGCTTACGAGAGGCTCCAACTCTACGATATGGTCTCTGGAGCCCCTGTTCAGCTCAACCACTCTTGGGACGACAGTGGACCAGCGATCTGTTGGAGTAGAGGCGAGAAATTATATTTGTTAGTTGATTTTTCAAACATACATTTCTGTGTATTAGGGATGTGTGCATCTCCATAACTGGGGCTCATGCTATAACGCATAGCCAATGCATCTACTAGTAGTGCATCTAATAATAATTATATATAAATAAATTGGTTTTTACCTATGTGAATATGTTAGAAACGATGCATTGCGATACAATGCCAACTTGTACCTGATGGATATTTTATTAAATCCATGCATCGCATCGTTAACTTTTATGCCGATGCAAATCTTACCATCCCTAATGTGTATGTATTTTGTCCTAGTACTGTGCAAAATAGTTTCCAAGACTATTCGAGAACGTTTGACAAGAAAATACTATTTTAGTCATACTTCTTCAAAACTTTGTGTTTAATATAATCTATGACCTGCCATTTCTTCAAAATTTAATAGCTGTGATACTGTTTTTGAAATCAAATCTTTGCATAGCTATGACAGGAAACACTGGACACTAATGATGCCTCGGAAAAAAAACAGTTAATCTTTAAAAATAAAGCATGTACATAAATCCAAATAGGAAATAAAACTCGATTATGCAAGTCCTATTCTGTGTCCTAAACTCCTGAAACATTTGTGTCTTAAATTTTAGAGCAGTCAATGCAATTCAGCAAAGAAATCAATCAAATCTGAATGTGTGTGAAAAAATTCAGATGTAATCCCCTTTGTAAGCGTTAGCATTTTCATAAGTAACTGTAATTCACATTTCACAAGACGTGCATGTCCTTGAGCAAGGCACCGAACCCCCAACTGCTCCCCGGGCGCCACAGCAAAAAAATGGCTGCCCACTGCTCCGGGTGTGTGTTCACGGTGTGTGTGTGTTCACTGCTGTGTGTGTGCACTTTGGATGGGATAAATGCAGAGCACTAATTCCGAGTATGGGTCACCATACTTAGCCACATGTCACATCACTTTTTATAAAAATGTTGTACATTTTGAACACAAAAAAAGTTACAGACTGCAGCTTTTACTACTTGTACTTACTAAATGATTAGGGTTTGTCTTAGGGTTACTTGCATGTAATTATGCATAATTAATTGTTATTATATTAGTAAGTACATGTAGCGTGTAACAAGGGCACCTTAAATTAATCTTTTTCTCAGTAACTGTAACAGATTACAGTTATACTTATTTGGTACATAATTTCCGTTAATTCCATTATGTAACTAGTTACTCCCCAACACTGATGATAATTCATACTGCCAAAAAGGATACAAAATACAAAGTCGTATGGAGCTTTTATGATACTTCTATGTCCGTATGAATTGCCATTTACTGTCGCTACATGGAAAATAAAACCTCTGACATTCTGCGTTACATCTCGTAACACAGAAGCAATTAAAATATATGGGGTTGAAATGACATGAAGAAGAGTAAATGATGAGAAAAAGTTCAATTTTTTGGTCAGATGACCTTAACCTTTAGACTATCTATATAACAGACTGCCAACATTTAACCTTTTGTATACCCCTCACCTGCAGTTTCCAGATCTGCTTGCTCTCTTTGGACACCTGTCCCACTGTCTCTCCCATCAAAGCAATTAACATGTTGAGTAGCAGGACGAAGGTGAGAATAATGTAGGTGACTAGGAGAATGAGGAAGACGACGGGATACTGTGCGCCTTTTAACATGTCGTCCAGCTCTCCAATGCCTATAGTCAGCTTAAACAGGTCCAACAGGAATTCACTGAAGGTGTTTGTATCTCGGCATTCTGGGTATTTGGGGCAGGTACCATTACACATATTCTTTTCAGGGCAGATTTTCAGCAGTGACACTAACGCTGGTGCAGAATACAAAACGAAATAGTCAGAGACATTCATTCCGGCAAATGTTTCCATATAATACCAATAACTGAACTACTATTACTAGAATACCTGATGCATAGCCGATCATGAAGAGCACGTAGACCAGCAGGAACCGGAACAAATCTTTGATGAGGATCTGAACAAAATATCCAAATTGAAGACACAATAGGTAAATGGAATGGTCTGTTAATTACATTGATTATATAAGAAGAAAGCAGAGCAGCAAGGATGCTAATTATTTGAAGGGTTTTATGTAGTTTCTAGCAGCAGTGTACACTGTTAGGATTGTAGTCATTACTGGAAACAGCAGATTGTTATATACACTTAACTGTGAAGACATGCTGTTTAACAATCAAGAGAACATGATTTACATCTTGAATAAAATATTGTTGGGGTGTTATATAGCATTAACTATATACAAACATATGCAAATGTTTCATCAATGTATTACACCGTCTCTACCTTTTACACCAGAAAAAAGAAAACCACGCAAGTGGACCTTACTAAATATTAAAATACACTTATATATGAATATACACACATTATTTACAGTATATAGTGTGTGTGTGTGTGTTTATGTATGTATCTGTTCTTTTGAACTTTCTATTCATCAAAGAATCCTAAAAAAAACATATGACTGCTTTCATTAAAATATTAAGCAGAACAACTGTTTTCAACATTAATAATAAGAAATGTTACTCAGCATATTAGAATATTCTGAAGGATCATGTGACACTGAAGACTGGAGTAATGATGCTGAAAATTCAGCTTTGCATCACAGGAATAAATTATATTTACAAATATATTAAAATAGAAAACGGTTTTGTAATAAAAAACTATATTACTGCAATTTTACAGGTAATTTTGATCAAATACATGCAGCCTTGGTGAGCATAAGAGACTTCTTTCAAAAACATTAAAAACAGTGGCATATGTAATTATCTTTTTTTTTCTACAAGTTTGGAGAAAAGGGCTAAACAAACTATGATTTGTTTTACTGACAAGTAAAATCATTCATAAAGACAGGTGAAGAGAAGAAAAAGTAAAGAAAATAAATATCACTATCAAAGTGATTTCCCCATTTAGAATGGTTAAATGAAATGTACTGCACGAGGTCCTCAACCTGCTCCATTCATACCTTCTGAATCATGATGCTGTAAGTTCCAGTGAGTTTAAGGCCTCTGGTAAAATAGAGGGTGTTCATCCAACCTAATGCTAGAGCAAACACCATCACAGACACGTAGGCCTCAATCCCTGACAGATACAGCGCTGCACTCACCAGCACCAACACGGAGTAGATGAAGCTATGGAAACACAAGGGATTGGTCAACAGGTAATGTACTCGTCATCGACATACTTCAACTATTAAGGTTACCATTTGCTTTAGGTTACTGGCAACTAATTGTAAGCTCAAAATTGATAACTTAACATGCTGTGGCCTCTGGCTGTTTTCGTATTTTGTACTTGTGAAGGTTACAGAACGACTTTCGGTTCTTATTTGCTGAATTTCAATATGTAAGATTTGCTTTTCAAATGCAAAATGCCTCACTGGTTTAGCAATGCCATATATTAATTATAATTAACATAAACATATCGGTGAACCGCAGTCATCTTGCAAGGAGATTAACTATTAAAACATGCCAAGAAAGGGTTCTGGAATTAATTAGACAACTCAATTAAAAAGAGGGAGAAAAATCGCCTTAGGGAAAGACATGGAGAGTAAAGGAAGACACGAAGAATGGGACCGAGTGTCTTACTAGAGAAGTTGAAAGGATCCATCAATAAATAAAGAATTCACCCCCGGGCACTTCTTCAGGAAAAGGTCCTTAATCTAAATCAGGGGAGAAAACCAAGAAACGCTGGTAAAGGCTTTTAGTGATAGCTAAGGAGAAAGAAAGAGGGATTTTGCGTACTAAAATATACAATCTTTCAGCAAGCTGAGATGGAAGTGTGATCTTACACATTTAAAAAGTATTAAAAATGATTGCTTATTGTGTATATAAAGCTTACATTTGTTGCGAAGAAGAAGACTCCAGAAGCCACGGTTATGATCTCGCCTGCCAAACGCACCTTGTCTTCTGTAGAGTTGTAAGCGTAAGGGGGCTGTGGAGGTATAAGATTTAGGAATCAACTACAGACCTGTTAATTCCCAGAAAGCATCTCTACCACATGAACTCTCTTTCACGCAGGAGGAACTATTACTCTGTGTTTTAAAACAAAAAACATGAACACCCACATGTACACTATCGTTCAAATGTTTGGGGTCTGTAAGACTTTTTAAAGTGTCTTATGCTCACCAAGGTTGCATTTATTCCATCAACAATATAAGACAGTAATATTGTGAAATAATATTACAATTTAAAAAATATATATTTTAATATATTTTTTAAATGCAATTTATTCATGGGTTTTTAGCAGGAGAACATGAACTTATCATAGAAAAAAAAAATAGGAGAAAGCTCGATATACTCGCTGAACAAATATGTAGCATGTTTTAACCTGATTTGAGCTAAAGAAGCTGAATTTAATTTTAATACCATTGTTTTTGTCATTTGATTGGGGAATTGACAAATACTGCCAAACACCAAATCTTCACCAACCGTTTTAGAGAGTTCAGTCTCTCCCCATTCAAGCAGATGGAAGATGTACTAGTCTGATTGGACACTATGGGACAAAGCCAAGATTGCTGCAGAGCAAACTGACTTGCCTGAACGGGATTTAGACTGTACTCACTGTACCCGTGGATGGGCGATAGTAGGCCACAAGAGTGAAGATGACCATGGTGGCAAGGTAGGAAAACACACTGATGTAGAAGGTCACAGCGGCAAACTTTTGCCACTTGGCCCTCAGCAGCTCGTTTATGGGTTCCACCGCCAGCATCTCATGGCGATTCTGAGGGCCCAAATGATAAAACATGTCAGAATCATTGAAACTGCCATCAACATAATGAAGAGAGTTTCTTGGCGATTGTTATTTGGCTGTATTTTTATACCATTTCCGTAAATGCTTTTCTATACATTCACAACAATTTATTCATTCAATCATTCACCTTGTGCTGTGCAAGGCCTCTAATCTCATTTGACAAAATATAGAGTGCCATGCAGTACACAGTCTATCTCCCTCACTTTCTTTTGTATATCCACAAGTTCACCTCAATCCTGCTGTTGTAGACGAGTATCTCCAGAACAGAGACTTCCTCTCCGCAGGTATCCAGTGAAGACAGATCATACAGGTTGGAGTATACGGGTCCATAAGCCCAGTCCTTAAATTTCCGGGAAAGATGTCGAGCCTCCTCATCTTTTATCTCTCTCCGGATGATGTGCTGGAACACCTGTAGAGAAAACAAACAAACATTTCATTCATTTTAGTTTGCTTCACCATTTCCTATCACACTTTCCCAATGGATGTTTCTAAAGCGGACATAAGGCAATCTCCTACCCCAATTTTGCCCAGCTTGGCAGCCATCATGAGAGGGGACATGCCATCATTGTTGAGTATATTCTCCAAGTTGCAGTCTGGGTAGAGTTTGGCACTTTTAATGAGCAGCAAGTCATACATCTTAGTGACGAAACGCGTGTTGTCCCGAGTGTTGTCAGCGATATGGACCAGGGCGTGCAGGACTGTGTTCCCCTTCGAGTCCTGCCTCCGCAGATCTGCCGCCTTGTGGCTGTTCTCGGTCAGGTAATGCACCATGTCTGGTTGGTTGGTAGAAGCTGCGAGTGAGAGAGGCAGCTCACCTGTGCAATGAGAAAGAGACTATCGATTTCAGTTGTCAATTTTTTTTATAAAAAAAAAAAAACATTCAAACATTTGGTTACACTTTATTTTAAGGTGTCCTTGTTACAGTGTAGTTATACATTTAAGTACTGAGTAATATTAATTAACTACATGTAGTTACTATATGGTTAGGTTTTGGCTTAAGGTTACTTGCATGTAATTATGCATAATTTATTGTTATTATAATAGTAAGTACATGTAACATGTGTAACAAAGACACCTTAGTGTTACCTAACTTTTTTCTTTTTCTTTTTTTACATACACTACCGTTTAAAAGTTTGGGGTTAAAAAAATATTTTCTTAAATTCAGCAAGGATGCAATCAAAAGTGACAGGAAACGGATTTAGAATGTTACAAAAGATTTCCATTTCAATTGAAAAAAAATAAAATCTAGACCATAATTATGGTTTATGCTGGTTTGGAGCTGGTTCAGCTGTTGATTGACCATCATAGTCCAATAAATCTGGTTGCAAAAGGTAGTCTTGCTGGTTAAGCTAGTTAAAAAGCCTGATGAGGACCAGCATCCAAAACACAAAAACTGCAACCACCTGCCATCTTCTGTAGGATTTCTGCCCAGCCATTAGACTCTAACCTCCAGATGTCCCTTTTATCTATCATTTTCCTTTACTAAACACCACGATGAAGAAATACAATTAGCAACTAAAAGTCAATCGGTCCTTTGCAGGGCTCTCATGACAAATGCGCTTTGATCTAAATGTCACTATTTGTATCCAGTACTCAATTAGTGCTCGTCTCACGAGAACCATCTCAAACAGGAAAACCAAACAGAGAGCCTTGAGAGTGAGCTGTTGCCAGGGGTGACAGATTATTTTCATGTCACTTCTTATAGAAACGCTTCGCTCTCATTGATTTGCACACGCTCAGAGAGCGGTTAGCGTGACTGCTAAATCACATTAGCTGTCAGTGCTCACAGGTTCACGCTCACGTCACCGGGAAGCTCCACGGCGAATGACTCTCTTCGCGCTCAGATCAGGAGGGATTAAACACTGACAGCCGTGCCTAATACAAATGAAACTAATTTACAGGTGAATAAAAGAGAGATGGAGACTCCTGGCAGGGCACCAGAAAAGATAATCCTATTCTGTCATCCTTGGATTATTTTAAAATAGTTTTGCATCTTTCAGTCAGTTCCAAAGCAGACGTCTTGTTCTGGGGGTTTAAAATTTGTGAGATGTAAATGAGGCTCATGAATAGGGAATTCAAATTCTCAGCTTGATTTTAAAATCACGGCTTTGTAACCGCTAACGTCCTGTGGGGATAAACTAATTAGAATATTTGACAAAAAAAGTAGGGGCAGGACTTACACACATCATCCAAAGATGACACTTCAGAAGTAAAGCAGAGCTTACATTTTGATGAAAAAATTACAAAAACAAACAGACTTTTCTTTGGGATAACTTGCACTAACGAATCATGCACAATAGCGTGTAGAAGCATGTATCAAAGGGATAGTCCACCCAAAAAAGAAAACCATGTCATTATTTACTCACCCAAACCCATTGACTTCCATTGTATTTTTTTGTCAATACAACAGAAGTCAATAGGAAAACAAAACAGTTTAGTTTCTAACAGTCTTCAGAATATCTGTTTTTGTGTTCCACAGAAGAAAGAAATGCATATGGGTTTGCAACAACATGAGGGTGAGCAATTTTTAGGTGGACTATCCCTTTAAGAAAGGCAATTTTCACACAGCTGTAGTAACACGCTCTCGTCAACAGGGGGCAGAATGTGTTTAGGCAGATGAGAGGAAACTTTTCTAGTATGCTGTACTTCAGACCATCAGGCCTCTAAATATAAGACCCTTTTACTGTATTTTCTGTTGCAGACACAGAGGCTCCATTCACTCTCTTCTAACCAACACTTGTTTTATTTGTGACATAATGTCTTGTTGGGTTTCCTCTAAGCTACAGAAACCTTTTTACTCACAGCTAAACATTTAATGAATGTAAACTGTGTAATGCTCCTCACATTTGCCAACTAAAGAGAGGGTTTTAGGAAAAAGGAAAGAAAATCACCTGATGTTACTATGGTAAACACTGGGCCAAAATGTATTGGTTATTCATTGGCAAAGTAATAAAGGCTAGACTGCAGATGCTAACTGATCAAACGCAATATTATTATAAATTTTATTGTTACAATATTACAACTAAACACCACGATGAAGAAATACAATTAGCAACTAAAAGTCAATCGGTCCTTTGCAGGGCTCTCATGACAAATGCGCTTTGATCTAAATGTCACTATTTGTATCCAGTACTCAATTAGTGCTCGTCTCACGAGAACCATCTCAAACAGGAAAACCAAACAGAGAGCCTTGAGAGTGAGCTGTTGCCAGGGGTGACAGATTATTTTCATGTCACTTCTTATAGAAACGCTTCGCTCTCATTGATTTGCACACGCTCAGAGAGCGGTTAGCGTGACTGCTAAATCACATTAGCTGTCAGTGCTCACAGGTTCACGCTCACGTCACCGGGAAGCTCCACGGCGAATGACTCTCTTCGCGCTCAGATCAGGAGGGATTAAACACTGACAGCCGTGCCTAATACAAATGAAACTAATTTACAGGTGAATAAAAGAGAGATGGAGACTCCTGGCAGGGCACCAGAAAAGATAATCCTATTCTGTCATCCTTGGATTATTTTAAAATAGTTTTGCATCTTTCAGTCAGTTCCAAAGCAGACGTCTTGTTCTGGGGGTTTAAAATTTGTGAGATGTAAATGAGGCTCATGAATAGGGAATTCAAATTCTCAGCTTGATTTTAAAATCACGGCTTTGTAACCGCTAACGTCCTGTGGGGATAAACTAATTAGAATATTTGACAAAAAAAGTAGGGGCAGGACTTACACACATCATCCAAAGATGACACTTCAGAAGTAAAGCAGAGCTTACATTTTGATGAAAAAATTACAAAAACAAACAGACTTTTCTTTGGGATAACTTGCACTAACGAATCATGCACAATAGCGTGTAGAAGCATGTATCAAAGGGATAGTCCACCCAAAAAAGAAAACCATGTCATTATTTACTCACCCAAACCCATTGACTTCCATTGTATTTTTTTGTCAATACAACAGAAGTCAATAGGAAAACAAAACAGTTTAGTTTCTAACAGTCTTCAGAATATCTGTTTTTGTGTTCCACAGAGGAAAGAAATGCATATGGGTTTGCAACAACATGAGGGTGAGCAATTTTTAGGTGGACTATCCCTTTAAGAAAGGCAATTTTCACACAGCTGTAGTAACACGCTCTCGTCAACAGGGGGCAGAATGTGTTTAGGCAGATGAGAGGAAACTTTTCTAGTATGCTGTACTTCAGACCATCAGGCCTCTAAATATAAGACCCTTTTACTGTATTTTCTGTTGCAGACACAGAGGCTCCATTCACTCTCTTCTAACCAACACTTGTTTTATTTGTGACATAATGTCTTGTTGGGTTTCCTCTAAGCTACAGAAACCTTTTTACTCACAGCTAAACATTTAATGAATGTAAACTGTGTAATGCTCCTCACATTTGCCAACTAAAGAGAGGGTTTTAGAAAAAGGAAAGAAAATCACCTGATGTTACTATGGTAAACACTGGGCCAAAATGTATTGGTTATTCATTGGCAAAGTAATAAAGGCTAGACTGCAGATGCTAACTGATCAAACGCAATATTATTATACATTTTATTGTTACAATATTACAATTTAAAATAATGTTTTCGTTTCAATATATTTTAAAATGTAATTTATTTCTGTACTGGCAAAGCTGAATTTGTAGCAGCCATTAGTGTCACATGATCCTTCAGAAATCATGATAACATGCTGATTTGATTCTCAAGAAATATTTTCTATTATCACTGTTAAAAACAGTTGTACTGTTTAATATATTTGTGGGAACGGTGATACTTTTTATAAAACAACTTTTTATAAATAAAGTCAAAAAATTAGGGGGAAAAAGTATTTTTACATTATGCATGTATTTACACACGTCACTTTTTAGCAATTTAATGCTTGCTAAATAGAAGTATATTATTCCTTTCTTAAAAAATAAAAAAATCTTACTGACCCCAAAGTGACTGATAAAACAGGAAATGGAGCTAACTTTGGCAGTTAAAGGCTCCAGCATGTTGTAATGAGGTTAAAAGCATTAAAGCATTCAATATATGAATGAAGATTTATGACTGCAACTGTAGCAGATTCATATCCTACACAATACACTGAAAATCCACTGATATTCTCAATACATTAAACATTAATACCTGGTTGGATTCCTTATCACTCACAATAAAGATTGTTTAAACCTTTACAAAACTAGCATCACCAAACTCACCAAAGTAGAAATATCCACCCTCCTCTCTGGGCTGAAAGAATCGGCCCCTGGCCTGAGCATGAACATCAGCCCCCTTCTCCACCAGAAGCTCCACGTACTGTTTGCATCGTCGTTCTATGGCGATATGCATTGCTGTCTGACCTACGGACACACCACATTTATATTATAAATGAAGATGCCAGTGAAGAATCAGTTAGAAGCAGTTCATCACATGATAAAGAACTGACCTTAACATCCAAACCAAAGCGCTCTGTAACATTACAGGATATCTAGGATACATCTTATCAGACAGAGCAGCGGGAACCGGCATGATATTATTAGATGCTATCAACTTATCTTTCACAAGAGGAAGTATTGCAGTATGAAAATTAGGCAATCCGGCTCATATTGTGTCTAGAGCCTGTAGTTTTGTAACGAGTGTTTGTGTGAGAGCTCTATAGGACATAAACATGCTTTGTTCTTCTCTCTCTGCTAATGTCGTCTGCTACTTTTGTTCTTAGATCTTAACGAAAACACTAAGAATATCCGGATTGCCTGTTTTGTTGTTCAGCTTCTGATTTGCTTGAGCTATTAACATCGATGTTTAGCAGTGGCCCATGTGTCATCAGTTTGAATAGACTGCCACCCTGTGTCCATATTTACAAAACAATTCGGTTTCATATCTTAATGTGTGCATGAACAACAACGAATGCATCACCAGTGCACGGTAGTAACATTTGTCCTAGTGACTGTGACTAAAACTCTTATATTACTCATGGAAACTTTATTTCTTTCTATTGTCCACAGATTTAACAGAATAATAAAGGATGCCTAAACTTAAAGTCTAAGTTTAAGGAAGCATTTTATCATATACTTGGCTGAACTAAGAAGAAAGGAATCATCTCTAATGACTTGCTTTTAGTAGTTCGGTGTATTTGTATGCTTTTTGGCAGTGGGTCTACATGAGGAAATCTGCAGACTGACAGAATTAGCCTATCTGACATATATACTTTACTGCCTGGAGGCCTGGAGCCAACACTAGTAAACAAACTGAACTAATGTGTGAGTGATTGTTTCCTGAGGAAATGAGAGGCAGACTACACAACGTCTGCCGCAAGTACATTATTATGTATTTGGAGAACTATAACGTCCCAGTATTAATAATGCTGCTATTACAAACCTGGCATGTACAACAAGTCAGAGATTACAACAGAATGAAAATAAAAATTTGGTTTAAATATGAGTCTACTGCCATATGATGCAATTTCAAGTTTTCCTTTCTCTTTGGAGTGTTACAAGCTGTTTGTGAATAGATAAGATCCCTATAGTTGCAAAGACTAAAGTCTCAAAACCAAAGAGATATTCTTTATAAAAGTTAAGACTTGTCCACACCCTCCTAAAACGCCTCGTTTAAACACGCCCCCACATATCTACCTCACTATGTGGGAAGATTTGCATAACGCCGCCCAAATGTTCACGCAAAGAAAGGCGGCGTAACTTTTATTCTCGCTGTCGTATTGTTGTTGCCGCTGCCATGTCTGGAGACGCTGTGTGTTTCATTGTGAAAGCAAAACTACTTTGTTTGTCCTTCCAAAAGAGGATGATATCTGCTTCGTCATGCCTGGAGCTGATCCGTGCTGGTCGCTGAGGAAATACATCAACTTTGCGCTGTGGATCACCGGATCGGCTTTCACCATTTCGTTGTGAAAGCGAAACTACTTTGTTTGGTCTTCCAAAAGAGGACACAACTAGAAATCAGTGGTTAAGTTGTATTTACAACACTGTTCCAGAACAGTTCAACCCAAATATTCAAAAAATCGACGTGTTTCAGAAAGGCGGGGCATAGAGGAGAAACAATAATGTACAGTATGTGGAAAATAATGTTTTTTGAACCTTAAACTGCAAAACACATTTCATTACACCAAATACACAAAATAATGTTATTTTTAGCAACACCATATGACCCCTTTAATAATATGCTGCCATGCAAAAGTTTGGAGTCGGTAAGATTTTCAAACATTTCTGAAAGAAGTCTCTTATGTTCACCAAGGCCACATTTATTTGATCAAAACTACAGTAAAAACAGTAATATTGTGAAATATTATTACAATTTAAAATAACTGTTTTCTATTTTATTATATTTTAAAATGTAATTTATTTCCTTCAGAAATAATTTTGGTCCTCAAGAAACATTTTTTTTAAATTAAGCAGTTTTCAACATTGACACTAATAAGCAAAACCAAATGTATTTATTCATTTATTTATTTTTTGGTGGTTAGAAAGTTCAAGGAAACAACATTTATTTGAAATATAAAAATTAGTGCTGTCAAACAATTAATTGCGATTAATCGCATCCAAAATACGTTTTTGTTTACATAATATATGTGTGTGTACTGTGTACATTTATTATGTATATATAAATACACACACATACAGCATATATTTTGAAAATATTTACATGTATTTACATGTATATATTTATATTCATATAAATCATATCATATATAAATATAATTAATAAATAAAAGTAACATATTTTTCTTAAATATACACATGCAGTACACAGTACACACACATATATTATGTAAACAAAAACTTTTATTTTGCATGCGATTAATCGTTTGACAGCACTAATAAAAATATTTGTTAGCAATGTAAAAGACTTTACTGTCATGTGTACTTCCTGAATAAAAGAATCAATTTCTTTAAAACCACAAACTTTTGAAAAGCAGTGTACATAATATTTTGCCCATTTACCACTTTAATTGACATGGAAGAAAAGGAAAAAGAAGAGATAACATGAGCCGGACTTGAAGTGTGTTTTAGCTTCTAGGCTTCAGCACTGAAAAATGTGTATCAGAGGGAAAGGAAAGTTATGAAGTGCATCGGGTGTGGCACTGGCAAATTCAAATACCCTAAACAGGCCACAGAGGAACAGCGTTAAATTCAGCAGTGCTTGTGAGGACGCTTTGTACTGAACAGGGTGGGGACTGCAGGAAACCCAACGCTAACTCTGGGGTAACTTCTCTAACACTGAGCTCAGTCAGAAGCACACATGAAACTCCACCTTCCTGCTCATATTTCATGAAGCTGCTCAGAGTAAATGTTAGCTCACGCCACAGATTTTGGAAACATTTTAGACAAATGATGCTTGAATGTCTTGAGTGGTTGGAGGACTCACCCCTATAATACACATCTCTGAAGGGCGTGTTAATGAACTCTCTGAGGTTTCCGGTCTGTTCGGCAATGTCCATCAACACAGGGATGGTGTCGTTGTGACCACTGTGCAGGTTCAGAAGTGCTTTTGGTAGGCAAGTCTTCCCTGTAGAAGGTTCTAGAGAAAGTACAGGAAAGAACATCTGTTATCAACTGAAGTTTTACATTTTATTAAGAAAATTTGAGTCTGTCCCAAGTCGGTATGATATTTTGGCTCCTAGATATGGCTTGTGTCCGTCTTTCGTCTGCATTTAAATGTGACTAATGTTTTAGCACATCTGATCTCTTCTGGAAGCTGATTCCAGCTGCGGGCGGCAAAATAGCTCAAAGCGGACTCCCCTTGTTTTGTGTGAACCCTTGGTATTTCTAACTGACTCAATCCTAATGATCTGAGTGGTCTGTTAGTTTTATATTCAGTGAGCATATCTGCAATGTATTTAAGTCCTAGGCCATTGAGTGATTTATAAGCGAGTAAAAGTACTTTAAAATCAATCCTAAATATAACTGGAAGCCAGTGTAAGGACCTGAGGACTGGTGTGATATGCTCAGATTTTCTGGTTCAAGTCAGAATTCTGGCAGCAGTGTTCTGGATGAGCTGCAGCTGTCTAATGGTCTTCTTGGGAAGGCCGGTGAGGAGACCATTACAATAGTCCACCCTGCTGGTGATTAAGGCATCAACAAGTTTCTCCAAGTCTTGACTGGAAACAGAACATCTAATCCTTGCAATGTTTTTGAGATGATAGTGTGCTGATTTAGTTACTGCTTTGACATGACTACTGAAACTAAGTTCTGTCTCCAGAATCACACCAAGACTCTTGACTTGATTTTCAGTTGTTTGACCCCTAGAGTCAAGGTATGCATTCACCTTGAGAACTATCGCAAAAAAAAAAAAACAATAGCAAAACAGTCAGAAACAGAAACAATTGATAACCGTTCTGTGAACTCTTCAACAAAGGCTGGAGAGTATTTTGGAGGCCTGTAAATAATGATAAACAGAATGCGTGGAGCACCTTTCAACACAATCCCTAGATATTCAAAAGACAAGTACTGACCAAATGACACTTGCTTGCATTGATAGACATCTTTAAATAGAGCAGCTACACCTCCACCTCTCCTAACAGTCCTGCAAACACTCATGAAAGTGAAGTTAGGAGGGGCTGTTTCATTGAGGATTGTTGCACTGCAGCGGTCTTCTAGTCAGGTTTCCTTTAGAAACATAAAATCCAGGTTGTTTGTGGTTATTAAGTCATTGATCAGAAATTATTATTATTTTTTTTTTAGTGAGCAAATGTTTAAAAACGCTAACTTGATGGCATTACTTTACAGCAATCTTAGTTTGATGCATAATAGGCCGCAGATTAGATGGGTCAGCGGTACGGCTTGAGAAGGCCTTAGACTTTCCATCGCATGATAAAACAGAAATAGAGAAAGCTACAGACACACTGGGTTCCCGCTTGTTCAGTAAACATCGCCGTTTTTTAGTTGATATCTTGGGGATTGCAGTGAAAGAGTGGGAGAGTTTGGTCCCAGCATACACCAGTTCCTCCATTTTCTGTGAGAAGCTTAGAAGTGGAGATGCTGGAGAGAGGGATAATGTGTCTTCTTACTTCTATGGGGTTTTGTTTGGCTTTTTTTTACATCCAGCAAGTGCAAATTTTGGGTCTGATTACTTAGAAAAGCAAGAGAGAAAAATGTACACATCAAAGTTTAATAATTAATCTGAAGTATGAAAGTAATGGCAAAGCTTGCTGCCTTTCTTTCATAAAGGTATCAAATTTTCCTCTAAATCCCGATTCACTCATAGATCAAGTGAGATTTTTTTTTCATTATTTATATTTAGCCAGGGTTATCTGTTTGATCTCCTCAAATAGAATCTTTCATTCCATTTGTGACAGTTTGCTGTGATTTCTTACTGCTCTCTGTTAAAAGTTTGCTTGACCCTTTGAGGCAGGAAGCAGAAATACGACCGCACCTTGCAGGATCACATCAGCTGATATAATAATTTCCTTTGCTAAACGAAAAAGGCACAACAACAAAAGCCTAGGGTTGCGATAACATCGGATATTTAGGGACACAACCCTGTTGATTTCTCATGTGTAATATAGGAGGGCTTTGTCTTTTTAATAAAAAAGTGGTATCATTATAAAGGAAAGCAAAATGTCCTAATAATAGTCTTTACTCTAGTAAAACGGTCAAGAACATCGTAGTTCAATCATTTTCTATTTACACTCAGTACTGTTTGCTCAGAGACGAAACCCTTCCCAGAATGCACCTTTGAACTCCTCATCTGTCAGCCTCTTTTCATTTGACTGAAGATACTGCAGGAGACCATCCAGAGCTCTTCTATCTGCTCGAGATACGGCTTCAAACAACAGCCAGCGGTTGAAGACTTTAAGAACAGGGGGCTCCGGGGATCCCTCGTCACATGACATCTCAATCTCAGCCTTCCTGCAGAGGGAAACATACACTTTTAGAGGAAATTTAAAGATTACGACTCCATTTAAAAGTGCACCGAGTATCTTTATGTTTCACTGTCCCAAACTGACATCGACTGAATTGCAAGACATGGCTGGTTGTGATGTAAATCTGCGTCTTTAATGAGAGGATTGGCTTATCTTAATTTACAGTAGTCTTCATCTCATACGAGTATGATCATTTACACCCTAAAAAGCACTATTCAACATTACTTGTTGCACCTTTGAACATTTAACAAATATAAAATTGTACAGGGCATTCACGAAAACGTTAAGGTGTAATGGAACCACCCTACCTGGACAAGTCCTAATGGAGTGGACTATGAAAAAGCTTCCACAAATAAGTCTATGTACTGAGGAAAACAGCTGCCTAACAGACCTCAACATAAACATTACCCCAAAAGCATTCATGGAAACGACAACAGACATTAATTCGCCCCACTGTGCATGATCAAGAGTGCAAAATCATGAGTAGACTGTCCTCAGCATGCAGCATAATACATGCAAAAGTGACACTTATTATTTTTTAAAGCATTCAGAGGAGATCTGACCACAGTCTCGCCACAATTAAAGCAATTCTTTTTTATATTCTGACCTGTAAAGAACTTTAAGTTGCATTTTATGTACAGTATGAAAGGTGCTATACAAATAAATATTTATGACTATTAACAACCTCAAAACATTGCAACTGTGAAACATTTCACAATTGATACAAGTGATTATTTCATAATAAGCAGTCCTCAGACCACAGTCTGCACTCTATCACCCAGTAAACAATGTGTCCATCTCTGTTTTAAGATTCCAGAAGGTAACTGTATGCACTTGAATGATGTTTTTTGCAGTCCTAGGTAATGAAACACATATCCAAAGAATAAACACTTTTAACAACTTGTATTTCTTTAAGTGTAAAAGAAAGATGGCATGATATGTTATATTATATATTCAGTATTATACAGTATATAGGTGTATTATAAATATAATAAATATACCAAAAATATTATACTTCTTTATTTTTCAACACACTAAACTGAACTTGAGCCAGCAATCAATATGATTTATTGTATGGAAAACAGCCACTTTTAAAAAGTTTAAAGAGTATAAATCATATAAAAAATGACCAGCAGAAGGTGCGACTTATCTGAGAGGGCGAGAGGTTATTTACCACCTAAAAAGCCTTTTGGCTGTGGTTTAGCGGTTAGTGCATGTGTTTGGACAATGCAAGTCTGATTCTGACATTTTCCTCGTCTCATTCCCCTCTTTCAGCATTTCCTGTACCCTTTCCACTACTGGATCAATAAAAGTGGCCCAAACATAAAACAAAAACACATGAGAAGCTATGTCTCTCACCCTCGTGGAAGTTTCTTCCTGCGTTTTTTCTGGTTGTTGATCTCCCTACATGTGCCGTAGTCAAACAGGGAGTCCATAGGTGCTTTCTTCGGCCCAGGTGCCACTGGATACTCAGACATGGTGGACTCAAGAAGGTCCATGGGGTTAGGAACTCCCTTTTTAAAGGCCCCTGGGAACCTTATTCGCGAGTTCTGCTTGTTATCATTCTGTTGTCCAGGTCGAGCTGAATCCTGGGCTGGCTGTGATCCATCATCATTGTCCAGAAGTTCTGCCAGTGAAGACATGGGGAAGTTGGGATCCCCGTCTGCTGAAATGTCCTTACCCTCTGATGGGTCCTCAGCAGCAGTCCCGGATGGTGAGGAGACTGAGTTTGACTCTGTCATGGCCAGACGATAACGCTTTAGTAGAGTGGAAGCGGAGAAACCCTGCTGGAAAGTCAAAAATGGATTGAGTGGACTTTAAATGCAAGAAAAATGTGAAGAAATGTGCTCATTTAAACTGAAAGTAATTAAAATTGCAGCTAGGCAACTATCTCAACCAATATGTAAGACTAAATTTGATGCTTGCTTAATGGAACTTGTACAGGGCTTTGAAAACAATCGAAAAATATACAGTTACTTAAAGTGGTCAAAGTTCGTTTCCCCAACTGTAGGCTATTTAATTAGTATTCTTGAAACTTGATAATTAGCTCTTCTGGTCTGATTATATAAATTATACAGCAGGAGCAGGTAAAATTGGAAATAGCATTCGTTGTTTTTAACAAATGTTAAAAAGGGCCCAAACTTAATGAGATGGGATACAGTATTGCCTTGCCACAGAAAAAAATTAACTTTCAAAAATGTATTGATATGACCACAATGACTGGCACTATCGTTGTCTTTAGAGTGGCGTTTAATAAGTTCAATTGGGTGTGCTGCTTTTGTTTTTGACAGGGATCTTTCCCTGGTAGCTTCTTCCTCCAGCAGAGTCAAGGATACTTGCTTGTGTCCTGACTTTCAATAGCAGTTCTATATTACTTTGTTGCTGTTTGCTAGTTAACCACTACACATCTCTGCTTTTTTTTCAGTGTAACCTAGTGGAATCGTTTTAATAAAATGTTCTATTTTATTAATACATTTTGTGTATGACCACCTTTAAATTGCAGTCAAGAACGAGTTGGATGTAACAGCTTAAAGACATTTTCAAGACACTGACTGCAATCAGACCGATGGCTTTTTCTTCTTTCTTACGTTGTATGCATACGTAAGAGTTGGCATCGCCAATGAGGACGCTTACCAAACATCTGCTGTAACTTTGGGCTGTTAATCAAAAGCATTTCTGACCTTCTGAAAGCCTTAAACAATTTTGCAAGACACTTTTGCACTGCAATGACGCTTGAGGAAAATTTGAAGTCAGGCTTGGACATAATTAAGTAGAAACACATAGGCTACTTACTTCAGTCATTTCTTTGTATGCTATGTGCACTTCCTCAATGCCAAATTACTCCTCCGGGGAGCTGGAAAGTGTCAGGAGGTCTGCAGGGACACAAACAGACCTGGAGGGGGGAAAAACAATACCAGCCTTTACAGAAGACAACTGTCAAACGAACTCGGCAAGAAACACGTTGTAAGATCCATGTCTGCTGACGGCTTCTGAAACCATTCAGTCATTTACACCTGGTTTGTATTTGCTGTTTAGGTAAACAAGTAAGCACATTGTGAAATCCTGTCAGCCAACATGGCATGCAGCTCTGAGAGTTCATTTGTGTACTGTGGATTTGTCTATCCTAGTTCATTGTTTTCTGCCCCATCCTCTAATAGTCTTGGATTTCAGTTTTAATTTGTTACATGTGTTCTGAACTGATTTTGACAGCCTGGTACTGTTGTTGTGAACCTGCATTGTACCTTGGATTGGGTTTGATTTTAATTATGTGTATGAATTTCAATCCTAATCCAGTATCTGAATAAACATATGTAAACATACATAATGTAATTCTTAACACCGTATGATAAGTACCACTACAGAGAGGTGAACAAATATTAAATGTGTGAAAGCAAGGCCAGCAATTCAAAAAGAAAGAAATTAAGAATCATATAAGAGGATTCAAATGTATTAAAACACAAATTTAACCAATTTTTCCCTTAACGGATACTTTGGTGCAATGACAGACTCCTCCATCTCCATGCTCCCAGAGGAAGATCTACGCTTCCTTTTCCATGTCATAAGGTCTCCAAAGAGCCAAACCGCTGGGATCTAACTAAAAATGAAATTGTGGGAAAAATGAACACTCAGTGCTGGTTCTTTTGACAGTTCAACTACAGTTCTCAGCTCATAAAACTTTTAACTTTGAGAAGCAAAAAGCAAAAAGCTTGATTAACAGATCTGTGCATGACAAACAGGTTCCATGTTGATACAGACATAAATATGACTAGTAGGAAATAATCAGAAGTTGTTACTTTTTCATTTCTAAATGGTTCTAAGCTCTTTTAAACTGTTCTAAAGGGTTTCATGAGGATTTTAAATCTCCCAACATTCCCACAACACAGTTATAAAACTGTATCACAAGTCATGGATTGGAAAAGTTGCTCACCTGTAAAAACAAATGTACAGCTAGACGTTTCTTCTTAGACGTAGAAACAGTAGTTATTCCGTTTATGAGGTCAGATTCGTCCATTTATTCTTCAGGTAGGATCCGTATAGCTCTTTAGGTCAACTTTGGAAACGGCTTCATCGTTCCTCCTGGGTGTTTCATACCGATAATGGGACAGAAGGAGTGCAGAAGCAGCGTTTTGATTTCCCACCGCCCACTGAATGGAAACCTGTGGAAATGAGCGTTAACTTAGGGGTGTGTGTGGAACTCTTCATTCAGAGTCATTGTACGTCTCAAGCGCAACCAAACAAAATCCTCACAGTCTAACTTATGAACTTGAGCCGTTTCACTTCGAAAGCCTTGTAGACAAACGAAATATTCACCGTCTACTTCGCAAACTACTCACATTCTAACTGTAATATTAGCAGAAAGTACGTTTCTTTCTTTTAAAGCCTTGAGAACATAAAACATATGATACCTTTACATTATCATATGTAATATCACTCATATTATATTGGTCTTTCATCATAACAGGTATGACCGGTTTGGCTAATTTGCATGGCTACGTTTTTTTGTTGTGGTGCGTTCACACGCAAAATGTTGGGAACGGCGCGCTCTGGTGTTCTCCTGAAGAAGCTGTCCAGTGTATAATATTAGCCAACTCATAATATTTGTTTTCAGTATTAGTGACATTATAAAGACAATATAAATGATTAAACACTATTATCAAAATAAATACTTTACAGTATATCTGTTTACTTCCCGCTTCTTTGAATTCAGTTCAGATTCATGTGTAGGCCTATTGTTACTAAGTAGTGTTAAATGTATTTTATATGTATGAATATTTTAAACATCTTAAACAAATATCAGTTAACACTTAAAATGCATTTGTAATGTATTTCTCTTTTTTTTTTTTTCGAGAAATTTTCCACAGACCCCCTCCCTGTTGAAAAAACCAGCATATGCTGGTTAGGTATGTTTTGACGCTGGGATGCTGGTTTAAGATGGTCCTTTGCTGGTTTAAGATGGTCCTTTGCTGGTTTAAGCTGGTCCTTTGCTGGTTTAAGCTGGTCCTTTGCTGGTTTATGCTGGTCCTTTGCTGGTTTAAGCTGGTCCTTTGCTGGTTTATGCTGGTCCTTTGCCAGCACATGACCAGCATAAACCAGCAAAAGGACCAGCTTAAACCAGCATCCCAGCATCAAAACATACCTAACCAGCATATACTGTTTTTTTCAACAGGGTGGCCCCCAAGACTTTTATTTATTTATAAGTAGCTATTTGTTATGTATTTGCGGATTCAAATCTGGATTTTAAGCACACAGTTATATGATGGCTTAATATGCATTTACATATAGAGGAAAAGTATGGTTATACTTGAGGAATAAAACAGAATAAAATATAAAGGCCTTTTTAGCGCAGCCAAAAGGAAAGTACACAGCAAAAACAACTTACCAGGGTGTCCGCGGGTTCTTAAAATGTCTTATATAAAGTTTTCCTAATATATAAGGACAATTATTAGCTCTTAGATTGTACGTACATTCAATGTAAACAGCGATTGATAATGGATAGTATATTTCTGGTATCAAGGTCTTTTTGTGAGAGACTTCAGAACAAATGAGCATGACGGCACACATAAACTCAGAAGAAACAATCTGAGGGAAAAAATCTAAATGTTTAGTTTATTCATAACATTATATAGTTATGTAACACCATGACAAGTGAGCTATTTTGCTCAATATTCTCACGACGCAAAAGAAACATTCAAAACACCTACAGAGTGCACGCATTACGTGAAGTCTAGTTGTATTTGAATAATGTATATTAATAAAAAAAATAAAATGTATTAAAAAATTACTTAGTGCGCTTGCGCATTTACAGTGCGCTCTTTCACTGCATGATTCAGTCCACACATAAACTCAGAAGAAACAATCTGAGGGAAAAAATCTAAATGTTTAGTTTATTCATAACATTATATAGTTATGTAACACCATGACAAGTGAGCTATTTTGCTCAATATTCTCACGACGCAAAAGAAACATTCAAAACACCTACAGAGTGCACGCATTACGTGAAGTCTAGTTGTATTTGAATAATGTTTATTAATAAAAAAAATAAAATGTATTAAAAAATTACTTAGTGCGCTTGCGCATTTACAGTGCGCTCTTTCACTGCATGATTCAGTATACTAAAATACGTTCAGAATGATCACAAATTCAAGACATGGGGGCAGAAAATTTGTATATTTATACCATTTCATATAGTTAATCAATTTCACATGAAGAGTGCCTTTTTCTCCAAAAATTACCATATATAAATGTGATAGGCCTATTGATTTTTTACAACAGTTCAATAAACTAGAAGTTTTATTAAGAGACTTACATTTTAGACACCATATTGCCTGTGTTTGCACTATTTCGCCAACAAATATAATTCCAAACAAAGCCACAGCGCTGTTTTGTATCTTTGAGCAACATAACATCGTTTTGTTCCTGAATGAATCAACCGTTTAAATGATTCGGTTCAATTGCAATGACTCGCTTATTAACAGTGACTTGCTGCCACCTGCTGGCGCTTTTAATTTCACATTTAAAGTATCTTTTCATTTTTTAAATCATTTCAAATATCAGTATTCAACCTTTTATGTTTAATATATCAAAACATTATTTATGCATTTGTAACTGCAGGTTAAATGCATTCATGTTCTGCATTAAACTGTGTGCAAATACATATGAATGCCACTTCAGATGCAGTTTATGTCTGGATTGCAAAGATGATTTAATTTTTTTTTAATACTGATTTAATTTGCTTGGCAACAGCCCAAACGTCTTATTATTGTAATTCACTGATTAAATGTAAGAATTTGACTCAAAAGATAATGCACACTTTTAGAAAAAGTGGTATTATATAGGTAAAAATGCCCATAAACGGTAAAAAATCAGTTTAAACTTATTGGAAAATATTAATTTCTATCTGACCACCACACAGAATATGAAGAATATCAAAAACTTTAGGAGTCAGCTGTCCACAAAAGTCTAGCATGATAACACACTCAATCAGTTGAATGAATGATTCAATGACTCACTCATTAAGTGACTTACAGTAGTTTAGTTGTGAAGTTTGTTGAAAAGTATGCATTTTTCCCCTCAACATTTCTTATTTGTATATTCATAAATGCATTTAAAACATTAATCTCATAACATTATTTATTGCAGTTGTAATTATTGCTATTTGCAGTGTAAATTATTTAATCTGACTGGTAGCAGCCCTATAGTGTGTATTGAATGTATTGATAAATTATAATAATTTGGCATGAAAGATGATGCATACATTTAAAAAGGTTAAAACTATGCAGAGTTAAGTACGTAAAAGCTGATAGAACACTGATGAAAATATTGCTTCAGAATAAATAGTTTACTCCACCAAAAATTTCAGTGATGCAGTTATTTTGCGGGGATATTTTGTATGGAATATTGTCTGCTGATGTGAAAAGTTAACTGTATATCGTAGTAATAAATATAATTTACAGCAATGATATTTTGTTTTCTTTTTTTATTTAAACAAATTAAAAATTACATATATGTATGTAATAAAATGTGTATTTCCATTACAGGTTTAGGTCTTAAATTTCATATAAGGCGGTATTAAAAAGCCTTCAGTTTAACTTGTTCATGTCTGTAGAAACCCTGACTTACACAAGGTTGTGATTTGAATGATATTTTAAAGAGACTACACATAACTATGATTATTGTAAGACACGTTGCGATAAAAGAAAATTACAGTGGAAGAGCAAAACAGTACGTGAAGGCATCAGTCACAGGGTCATCATGATGTACTGCTTCAGTTTTGTCCATCCTCTACACCAGTGAGATATTCACTCTTTGACAAAAATCATTCAAATAAATGAGCTTTTATTGATGTCAACTCCACTGGTTAAAATAACATCTTCAGAATGCACTGTATGTTGTCCTATGAAATGCATTAGTGTTGTTGCATAGTGGTTAACCTGCGACAGAACTGAGATGTGGTTCATCAGCGTTTGCCTACTGACCAAGCAAAGTGAAATAAGTCTGTAATGTCATAAAACGAAGCACAAGGCAGCTGGAATAAAGAACAAATCATTTCCATAAATTAACATTTATTTCTAAAAAGCAGTTAGTTTGAATGAAATTAACCTTTGGGAATGACAAATTAAAACCAACAATACTCATCCATTACATTACATAAACAAAGCACCAGACCAATTACGTCTATGAAGATTCATAGTCATCCATGTAATAAGAGTCTTAAGAAGTCTTGTAGAAATAAATTATTAAAAGACACATTTTTATTAAGAAATTATCATAGACGTTTTACTATTTACTCTTTCACCACTCAATATAGTGGCTTCATTTTGTCACTTCTGAGGAAGTGGTTTCTTTATATTTTATGTCACATTCAAGTATTTTTTCTCATAAAATAGAATCCGAAGTAAAAACTAACAGCAGTACAGTCAATGTCAGATATTTGGTTAGAGAGTCTGCAGACGTTTGTTTTGGTATAATTAAAAAAGTCAAATCAAAACCCTCATTTGCAGTATATAACACATACAGAACCATTCCATACACATACTTAAAGTACATGTATCAAACAGAAATGATTAGTAGTTAAAGTTATAAAACACTCACAAACTGTCTTTTTTAAGAACACTACTTTTCTAAAGAAAAGCCAAAGCATTCAAATGGTCAACACGAGCAGAACAAACACAAACAGACATCCTCCCTTCCAAAACCACCAAAGCCTTCAGCAGCTTGGACCCTAATTGTCCCCCAAGAGAAAACACAACAGTATACTGCTGGAGATGCAGGATCCAGTAGGAGAGAAGAACGGTCCAATGAGGAGACTAAGGAGGTGTCTACAGGGAGGCAACAGTGATCCAGTGGGACAGCAGTGGATGAGGTCTAAAGTGTGTGAATGTGAGATCACACAGTGTAGTCCAGCTCTGCATTCATCTTGGTGTACATTTCATAGATGGCGTCAATAGTAGCTGTGAAGTTTACTAGGAACTGCCGCATTTTGTCCAAGCATTCTTCCTCCTTGACCTCTCGCCCTTTAGAAAGAGCTTTGAGAAAATCTGATCTGTATGGAGCGGCATATAGTGCTGCCTGAAAAAATGAAGTCAGGGAAACCTCAATAGGTTTTTCCAAGTTTTTGCAGTCATCAGAAATGTTTACATTTCACTCATTTTACTTTCAGACGACGAAA